GGAAGGGACCCCAGAGGTAACTGATGCTAAACCCCTGTTTACAGCTTGGTACTTCAGGCCTAGAAAGGAAATAGGGAGTTGCTCAGGATCACAGTTCAAAGAAAGGCTGAGACTTGAACCCAGTCCTCTTGGTTTCCACTCCAGTTCTATTTTCACTCCACCTCTGGAGGCAGAAGTAGAATGGGGTGGTTGAACAGGGGCTTTGGAGTCAGTTGAGCATAGTTTGACTTAGCGCCAGCCACTTAGTAACTGAGTGCCCTTGGACAGGTTGGTAATGTCTAGGCTCCAGTAAATGGAGTTATATCTAGAGTACTCATGCATTGGAGTCCCTGTTGAAAATGAGGTAGATGAACATGAGAACTCAGCCAGAGCCTGGCAAACAATAAGAAGTGACAGTTCTGAGAGTGTTAAGGACTTAGTTTTGACCTGTGTCTTCATTTGCTAACAGAGGTCAGGTGCCAAAGCCAGTCTTTCTATGTCTTCCTCAGTCCTCTGCCCCTTGATCCCTTCTGTTTGGTTCTGAGTGTAGACAGGAAGGCAGCCCATGGTGCTTCTTAGAGCTAGCTCTTCAGACCCTGTCTTGGCTGTCAGGCAACTGTAGAGTAGAGGGGGACTTAAGGAGTCACTGGGGGCTATAATCCTGCAGCGAGAAGCCCACGTTGTGGTGCTTAGGAGTGCACTAGTAGTAGAATATCAGTGAGAAATGGTGCTTCGAAGTGAAACCCTCTTACTCCATCTTTGATGTCTTTTCTCCAGCTTGGGGTTTGTTTGGCGGGAGCAGAGGTCTCTGTTTTTCTTATTCTGTGTATATGTATTAACAGCAGCATGAGAGAGATGCCAATTATGTGCATAGAATAGCCTGGCTTAGGTTTTCCTCCACGTGGAGCTGAATGTAGGAGTAGAGTTTGGACTGGTGAGAGCAAGGTCCTTGGGTGTGGGAAGCCGGATGCTGCTGCTAGGGAATGTGGGAGGGAGACAGGAAATCAGGAACATAGAGGAGGCAGCTCACTGGGATGCTTGCACCTTTCTATGAGCAGGGAATGGTTGAAGGAACTAGGATTATTAGTCTTTGATTAAAGAATCAAAGCTTGGGGTGGGTGGAAATGCTGGCTCTTCTGAAATACAGCATTTGAATAGACCTGCTTCCTGTGTGCCTGTGGGTAAAGCCGTGATGGCAAATGGGAGGTAGAAGGTCAAGAAGTAACTTTGAACAGTGTCCCCAAATGGATTTAGCTGTTCACGAGGTGTACTGAGTTTCTTGATGTGTGGTGAAAATACTTAAAATGGGTTGGCTGGTGATTTGCCCCAGGGGCCGGCAGCTACAGATTTGCAAAAGTACTTGCCCAGATTTGTTCATTCAGAAATTTTTGAGTACTTGTAGGTGCCAGTCCCTGAAATCTGAATTTAGGTAGACGATTTAGGGGCTGTCATGATGGGGCTTTCATTCTGAAAGGCAGAAGTCACAGATTGGCATCCCTTATCTTACATCCTCAGGCCCATTCCAGCCAACTCACAGGTTTTTAAAAAAATTTTGATTTTTTATTTTTAAGATTTTATTTATTCATCTATTTCAGAGAGCACATGTGAGAGTGGGGGGAAGAACAGAGGGACAGGGACAAGCTGACTCCACATTTGAGCGCGAAGCCGGACATGGGGCCCAATCCCACTACCCCAACATCATGACCTGAGCTGAAATCAAGAGTCAGACGCCCAACCGAGCCACCCAAGTGCGCCTCCCCCTTTAAAGATTTAACTTAGTGACAGGTTTTGATTGGCTTTGAATTTAAAAACAGTTTAAAGTAATCACCTATGTTTTAAAAGTCAAGAAAATTCATCTGGAAACTTAAGAAATTTGCAGCTTTAAGAGGGCAGACTCAATATGCAAAAAAAACCCCCACAAAAACAAAACCCATTGAATTTTATACTTTGAATTGATGAATAACCTGGTATGTGAATGATAACAGTAAAGCTGTTACAGAAAAGAATGAGAAGAGCTGGCCACACTGAACCTTTGTTGCTTTATGAGTGCTGTCCAGTGGCAGTACCTACCCCACTTTAGACTAGGACACCAGCATGCGTCCGCTTGGCCCAGACTTTGTATGTTTGATCATACAAAGCAGAGAGGATAGCAGTCTGTCCAGCCTGCAAGCTGAGGAGCATCCGTATGGAAGGAATTTGAGAGAGGAGGGGAGAGAAGACTTAAAGGTCTATGGCAGGAATTGGGAGTTCCTAGAGGAGACTCCTTAACCCATGGGGGGAGACCAGACATCACTGGGCATCGTGGCCTGAGGCCCCAGAACCGTGATAGAATGCTGTCTGAGAGCTAAGGGATGGGAAAACTGGCTTATGTTAGGTCCCATTGAGCCTTTCCCCTCCCCTATCTGAAATGGGTATGGCATCTTTGATCTCAGTCTCTAAGGCCCCTTCCAGCTCAAACTCTGTTGGTGTGAGAGTGGCTAAGGCAGGTGTTACTAGTTCTTAGATGAAAAGGGAAAAGATCCTGACTAGGTCTTGTGTCATTGGAGCATTGAATTCTCTCTGGGAGAAGAGACACTGGAGAGAAGCTTCCCCAAGGCAGGCCTGCTCCTCACACCATTGTTGGTGTGAACCCTGTACTAGGGGTAGGATGGAGAGCTCTGGGAAGGAAACTGGGGACCAGCCTTCTAGTCCCAGCTGTTTGGCTCACTTGCTAAGACACTTTGGGCAACTTACTGAGTCTGTTTGGACTTTTCCTCTTCTGTAAATGAAGGTGGTTAAGCCAGATCTTTCAAGGTCCTTTCCTCCTAGGGTTAAGTTTGATATATCAAACTGGAGATGAAAAGTACACTGTTGAGAAAGATTTCATCTAAAGGGGATTGCTTCCCCCCACCCAATTGGACCAGCTTTAGTGTTATACCTGAGAGCTTGACCAAGGCTTTGGGATTCTTCGACCTAGGCATGAGACATTCTGCCTTAGGCCTCTGGAAAATGCTGGGCTAAGATGAGCTGCCGCGGAAGGGTATGAGTAACCCATTGCAGTGTATAAACAGTGGTGGCCTGTCTCTTGACAGAAATGTCATTGAGAAGATTCTGCCATCCTATACCTGGTTAACACTTGATTGTTGCTGAGACCACCCCCCTGCTTCTGGCTCTGAGATTTAGAACCTCTGTCTTGCGGAGGCCAGGGTCAAAGTATCCCTCAGTGGAAGGGAAGCTGGCCCACCCATCTCAAGAGACTTGAGTATTCAGAGTCCTCAGGCTAATCAAGAGAAGCACCAGGGCTTGAACCTAACCTTTGTGTGAAAGGAACTAACCTGGCTACCAGCAAAGTGAAAATCATTCATTTAACCCATGTGAGTAACCTACTGAGTATTAGACCACGGAATAGTGATGGGAACAAGACAGAGGGGAGCTGCCCTCATAGTTTACATTCTAGTGGGGAGACAGTAAACCAACAAGGTAGTTCTTGCTATTGCTGCCTAACCAATCACCCCAAACTTAGTAACATAAAAAAACAACCATTGGTTCACTGAATTGTATGTGGGTCAGGATTAGGACAGGGCTCAGCCAGGTGAGTCTTTTCTGTATGGCAGTGATAGAGGTATCTGATGTCGTGGTCTGGAGGGCCCACCATGCTTCACTTGCATTTTTGGTACCTTGGCAGGGATGGCTGGAAGGCTGAGGTCAGCTGGAACTCGAATGCCCTCAGGTACCCTCTCCAGGCTGGGCGTTTCAGAGTAGTAGGACTTACTGTGCAGTGGCTTAGTGCTCCCATACCGAGCTTTTCAAGAGACAGGAAGTAGATGCTGTCAATATTATAAGGTCTGGACCAGAGCACTAGCACAACATCACTTTTACCATAGTGTGATAGAGGTCACAGATCCTGCTGAGAATGTAGGGGAGGGGTCATGGGCCCTGCCTTTCATTGGGAGGAGTGTCCGTTTGCAGCCATCTTTAATACTACACGGCAGCTGCTGATAGTGCTAAGTGCTGTGAGAGAAACAAAGCAAGGCAGTTTGCTAGAGAAGTGGGGATGTGTGGCTGGGGACAGCTTCAAACACCTGTCAGGGAAGGCCTCTAAGGATGAGCCCAGATGAGATTGATAAGGAGCATGGTGGTGAGCATTCTTGCCTGGAGGAACAGCAAATACTAGGTGGTGATGAGTTCAGAGATCTGCAAGGAACGGACCAAGAGGCCTTTGAATGAGAGGCGAGGGGCCCAAAAACTCAGAAGCAAGAGGCCTTGGGAGGCCAGTTTAGGGAGTTTGGATTCTGTTCTGAAAGCATTGAGAGAGGAGGTAGCGTGATAGGATTTCTGCTTGAGGGTTACTTTGTCTTTTGCAGAATGGACTGGCGGGGGTGGGGTGGGCAGGGAGACCCCTTGGAGACTTCTACAATAGTCTGGGGAAGAGATGGAAAGGAGTGGATGGTGGCATGGTGACTGGGCCAGATTTTTTTGACCTTACTCTTTTCCTTTGAGGCTAGGCCACTTAAGAGGAAGTTTTCTGATTGCTGTTTCTTACTTCCTCCTGTGTGTCCAGAAGCCAAATTATTGTCATATGATGCCCATTAATAAGAGGATGGCCTGAGGCAGGCAGATGTTTTACCTGGGTTCTGGGTCTCTTGGCTCCAGGGCCAGGAGAGTATTGGTGTTGCCCTGCTAGGCAGCTTCTCTTGGTCTATCTCCCGCTCCTGCCCCAGGGTGGAGGCAGAGTGAGAGTGTGGGTAAATAGCTTGGGGGCACTAGCAGGAGCTGGGGCTGGGATGGTGGGGCTGCAGGGATGGGGAATGAGCGCCATGTGGGCTCTTAGTGTCACAGTTTTCTGTTCTGACTTCTTGTCAGAAACTGCAGTGGCTTTTTAATTTCAGGTAAGATCTTCAGGGTCGGGTCAGAGCAAACTGAAATCTGGATCCAAGTTCTGTTTTCAGCCCTGCTCTCTTGATTCTCCTGGCTGGACCTTCATTTCTCACAACTTGTTAGAAGGGATTGGGTATGAATGCATTGCTCATCTATCACTAAAGTGCCTTTATCATGTCCCTGGGCTTAGCCTGGTGTCCTAGAATCTGCCTCATGGGTAGCTTGTCTTAAGGACAGATTTCCCAGACCCTCTACTTCTGACATGATTATCAAACTTCTGAGCCACCATACCATCTCATTCATTATCTAGGTTCATTTTCACAAAAACCCTGTGGGATCTGGCTACAGTTCTAATCCTCATTTTATGGATGAGAAAACAAGAGTTCAGAGAGGTTCAGTAATTTTGCCTAAGTGTATGCAGCATTTAGTAAGTAGCTGGGATTGCATCTCCTGGCACACTGACTCCAGAGACCCTGCAGTACTTACCATCTAGCTTTGCATTCTTCCAGACCACAGAAGTATACATACCCTACCTGGAAAACTTTCTGGGAGAGAGAGGATCCATATAGATCTTCAGGCAGCAGGAATCTGTACAGGACCCAGGTGCCCCAGCCTGGACTTCCAGTTCTGCCACTTGGCCACCTTTAGTGGGTGTGAGCCAGGCCCTGGAACTTCTGATCTCGCAGAGGAGTCTTGGCCCCACTTTCCCCAGAAATGTTCCTCCTCCGCTCTGTCAGGCATCGCGCCGCCTGCTGGAAAGAGCTGTGCTGACTTTGTGGTTTCTCAGGCATGGCCTCCGGGCCAGGTGTGGCGGGGCGGTGGCTCTCAGGCTCTTCCTAGAGGGGATGGGAAATACTGTTGTGTTGGGCCTTTTAACTTCTTTCAAAGGGGAAATCTTTTCAACTTATTTAAGCAACCAGTTCATTGTAGAAAAATGTCCACCAGCTACCGTAAACACTACTAAGCAACCACATCCTTTTAGACTAGTGTTGCCTAATAGAAATACAACACAAGCTATGTGGATAATTTTGAATTTTTTAGTAGCCATAGTTTTAAAAAAGTAAAGATAGGTGAAATCAATTTAAATGATAAAACCTAAGACAAGAGATTATCATTTCAACATATGATCAGCATAAAAGTTATTAGTGAAATATCTTACATTCTTTGTACTAAATGTTTGAAATTTGGTTTGTCTTTTACACTTAAAATATTTCTTGATTTGGACTGCCCACATTACAAGTGCTCAGCATCCACACGTGGCTAGTGACTATTGTATTGGACAGCACGTTTCTATACTTTTTTTGACTCTGAGTGTATACACATGCTTTTTTAAAAAAAAAATGGGATCATAATATGACCTGTACCCCCTCCCCCTCCCCCACACTTAGAAACAAAAGCTTTCAAGGGCACTTATCTGCTTGTAATCTTCAAAGCAGCCCTTGGTAACGAAGGTAGCATTTTCCTGATGAGAACGGTTAAGGAGCTGGCCAGTGCTACATCACTGCAGCCGCCTGCACACACGCGCAACCCCTCACCTCTGCTGCCTCTGAAGCTGCCACTCCTTCGCTGCCCCCTGCAGGCACCTGGAGTTGCCCCAGCCCACTGAGCCCAGTCCAGAATTCACATGCACCATGTGCACATGCCTGCACATACCGGGCACTTTGCTGAGGAAAGCAGGCCCCCATAGGGGAGGCTACTGACCAAGGCTGCCCTACAGGGATGCAAGTTTTTAAAACACAGGCACGCTGATGCCCAGGTTAGTGCTCTTTCCACCACACTTACCTGTCCTCCCAAGAGCTTACTGCTTGGGTTTGCAACTCGCCAGAGTACAAAAATTCAGCGTGGGGGGTAGTGGCAGCAGAGGCTTTCACTTGGGTTTGTTCTGGGGTTCCCCCAAGCCCATGGTACATGCCCCATGAAGAAGAGACGAGCTAGGTCAGAGTGGGTGCAGAAAGGGACATGGTTTGACCTGGAGGAGGTTCAGACTTAGAAATCTCTAAAGAACTTTTTGTCAGGCAACCCTGCCCCCACTAGTGCTATTGCAAGGATGTGTGGGCTTCACACCAGGCCACTTCTATGGCAAGTACCTCATTCCGCAGCAGCTCTGAGATTTGTAGGAGCCTGGTTTCGATCCTCCACCCCGCCCCCCCCCCCCACAACACACACAATTGGGCTTCAGTTTTTTAGACTGTAGTATGGAGCGCCTTTCTAAGTGTATCCCATGCTATTGGCCAGCTCCTACCCTTTGGTAGGACAGCTGGGGATGAGCAGCAGACCTTGGATTAGCCCTTCAGGTAAAAGGGACTGGAGTACTGATGATTGAGGTTTTGAAGACTGGGTAGATCCAGGGAAACTGGCCTTTTCCCCCATTACTGTGGCACCTAGGAGCAGTGAGCCAAGTCTCCACAGGCTGGGAGTGGCCTGCTTCAGGGGATGAGGAGGTGACTTGGTTTGCACTCTTTGGGGAGCTCTATTGTCCTGAAATAGGATACTGTCCAGGGTGGCACCTGCCAAAGCTGAGGATTCTAAGCCGTCATCCATTGGTTTATCTAGGGTTTAGTCTTATTCATCAAGTCCGTGGATTTTAAGGGTTGGTACTGCCTTTGGGATAGCCCTTAAGATTTTTTTAAAATTTATTTGACAGAGAGAGACAGCGAGAGAGGGAACACAAGCAGGGGGAGTGGGAGAGGGAGAAGCAGGTTTCCCGCCGAGCAGGGAGCCCAATGTGGGGTTCGGCATGACCTGAGCCGAAGGCAGATGCTTAATGACTGAGCCACCCAGGCGCCCCTTTTCCTTAAGATTTTAGAAGACTTCACAAAACATTTCTTTATTCATATTTCACAAGTGCCCTTGACGTGGGTGATAGTTGGCCCCCTCTTAAGGAGAAATTCCTTCTCCAAAGGCTTATGGTGATTAAGGGACCTACCCAGGGTCAGAGTTAAAAACTGGTAAAGCCAGTCTGTTCTTCTTTTTCCCTTTAATTCACAATAAAGAAAATAAAAGCATCAGTCTTCCTATTAAGTAAGATATTGCAAGGGAGGCACTTAGCACAATGATGGTTCATACTAAAGGCTCAATAGTAGCTCCAGAAACATTTTTCTAAAAGATACTTGACTCCATCTTTCCAGGAGCCGTGAGCACAGCAGTTTGTCCACGGAGCTGGAGGCCCTCTTTCCAGGCATGGGAAAGGAGCACGAGGGCAGCAGTGGCCTGGGAATGCAGGACTGCTGGCTGGGAGTGGACAGGCTGCTCAAGCTCCCCATTTGCTGCTGCTGGCCTTGGAGTTGCTCTGGAATGTTCTCTCATTCTAGGTCTTCTCTGTCCCACCCCCTGATTTGCATCATCACTGCCACTGCCTCTCTGAAGTGGCAGCTCTTTTGAGATCCTCGAGGAAGGCCAGGATCCAAAGGGGCTTTGGAAGCCATCTGGTTACTTCTCATTTTATAGAAAACTGAGGCCGTCTCTTGGCCAGTCTCCCACATGGCACTAAGGGAATCATGATACCTGTGCTGGGTCTCTGTTCATTCTGCTTTGTTCTTTCAAGGAAAGAAAAACAGGAGCCTTTTTGCATGGTCGGTGCTGCAGGAGTGTAGATTAGAGGACTGGGTCTGTCAGCACCAGCCTGCAAGGCTGATCTCATACGTGCTGTCATTCCTGGTCCTCGAGACAACGAGCCTTCAGCTCTCTTCTCACCCCCACATGGGCCAGCCGTTGACACACCCTGAGCCCTCAGAAGGCCAGGAAAACCTGCCCAAATGGAGCAGGTGTTGCCCAGAAATGCTCTACATTTCCTGAAAACAGGCCCACCCTTCTACTCTGCCCTGCTGATGAGCTCTTTAAGATAGAGCATAAAGCATGGTTCTGGGAAGACTGGAGGCACTGAACAAGCATCTAGGACTAAGTACCTAATAGGAGGCTCACCTCAGCCACTGAGCTTGCGGAGGGGTGGAAAAATTTGTCAATGGCCTTAGAGAAAATTCTGCAGTGACTTTTAGTGAATTCATAGGGGCATTCCTTTATGAAAAATAAAACTAGAGTTGTACAGGCATGCTTTGTAATGAGACAAACCAGTGATGAAGCCTGCTCAGATAGAGAGTACCTCTAAAGTTCCAAGATGATAGCTAACAAAGATTGAGTGCTGACTATGTGCTAGGCATTTTTCTAAGCACTTTACAAACAGCAACTCAGTCAGTCCTTATAGTGCCCGTTAGGCTAGAAACTATTCCCATTTACAGAAACCCGGAGTCACCAAGGTAGAAGAGCTGTTGGAGCCCAGGCTCTTAACCATTGCACCACCCTGTTGCTGGGGGTGAGGTAGGCAGTTTTCTTGACTCTGCCTGGTGCTCTTTCCACAGAAGCACTGGTCCCATAATTCTCACTTGTGTTTCTGCATTTTGTTCTTCCTGGGACTTAATTCCTCCAGAAGAGCCCAGGCCTAAGGGTTTGCAGATCTTTTCTGAGGTAAGGACATAGCAGCTTTTAGAGGAGAAGAGCATTGACCCCACCGCACCCATGTCTGCTCTTGGCATCAGACACTAGTCTTGTGGGCTGGACCCCTGGCAGTCTTAGCTAATTTCTATATCCAGAGTACACAGTATGTATTATGTTGTTGTTGAGAAGAGTATTTTTCAGTCATTGCAAAGGGGATTCCCACAGCAGATGTTGCTAATTGATCCTAGGCTTTTCTTGAGCCCATTTACTGCCTGAGGATCCTCAGTTTAACATCCCAGGCAGTTGCAGTGAAGCAATCACATGTGGAGGTTAAGATTAAAGCCCTTGTATAAAGTGAGCCCTCAGAGGAGAGGGACTGTCTTACACTGCTTCCCTAGTGCCTGGCACACAGACCCCTCAATAGCCCAGTTACCAATAGTCAAGTGTCAACCGTAGGATGGTAGGAACTCAGGGTAGGGATCTCAAAAAACAAGCTGATACACTTGTAACAAGTCAGGAAGCTCGCTGTGTCTCAGTTCTTGTTCTGTGATACGGGGAGAACCACGTCTGCACTTCCTACCTGGGACTGTTTGAGACCTCAACACAGTGTTGGGTGAGGAAGTATCTTACAGGCTCGTTAGCCCTGGTCAGCAAGGGTAAGGAAAGATATAGTTTACCTGGGTGGGTGGTGTATGCTTTGTTCAGCTTTTCTCTGTGCCCCAGAGTGGGGCCTGTATGAAGTCCCTGCTTTTTCCACCTCCCT